CCGAAATGATCCACCCGAATATCGTTTCTTGCGCAAGTGTAGCATCGTTAGAAGCTTTCATTAAGCCACCCATCATAATTGAACCGTATAATTCGGCCCCGAGAAGTACTTCGATTGCATCATTTGAGCTTGGATTTGGATCGGCTAGATTCAATTTGGAAAGAAACGGAATCTCTTGTAATTGGAAATGAGGTGGAATGTACGCTGTAATTTTTGGAACGACCAATGCTTTGGTATGAAGAATCGTATCATTTTTATTAGTCGCGCTGATAGAAATAGAGACGGCATGTTGAACGCAATTAGACGTAGTGTCACCGATGCCAGATATCTTTACGCGTGTTGAAATTAAGCGAGCTCTCAACATTTGAGCGACTCGTGACGAAACGAATGTGGCATCGGAACCTTGATCGATTAGTGCTCGCGTGTAAACATGTCGACCGTTTTCTGATCCTATACAAACACGTGCGGTAGCCAGGAGCACGGGTTTAACTCCCGCGTTCACGTGTGAATGTACGTTGGACGCGTTATCGCATTGTCCAGAGTCTGTTGTTGTCGTTAAACTTGACCTTGAATTCTCGTGTAACAAAGTATGATGTTGTCTTTTACATTTCAAGCAAGTAAAGGAACTACGACAATTCGAAACGTAATGACCTTTGGTCAAACAATTTTTGCATATATTATTTTTTTGAACAAACTCTAGTCGATGCAAAATGCTTAACGCTTGAAATTTCTCGCAATGCATTAAACGATGTGTTTCGGAACAAAGAGCGCACGTACTCGCGGTGTTTGTATGGTGAGAACGCACTATATTATTTTTTCGTGCCGCATTTGGAATCGAGCGAGCACCGGAACTCTTTTCGGATGAGTTTCCGTTGGCGGACTTCGAGTTATCTCCGTCCTTGGATACAGCCTCAAGCGAACGAATTTGTGTATCTAGAAACGCGTATAGTTTTTCCATCGTAGGATATCTCCTCTCTGAACCTAAGCTGACTTCCCAATCTTTTCTCGTCAATTTGTCTAGTTTTTGTACAAGAATGTAGACTAAAATCATATCCCATTCATCTACAGAACATTTCAAGGCACGCAGAGCATTTATCGATTCCGATGAATTGGAGCGTAATTGTTTTAACCCGAACAGATCGTTAGACGAAACATTAGGAATGGTAAATAAACGTTTGAAATATGCGTCAATAATAACGCGTTGATTTTCGTAACGATTCGTGAGTTCCTTCCATGCAACATCGAAATTACTATCGGTTAGAGAAAGATGGGAAATCAACTTAGCAGCGTCGCCAGTAACCGCGGATAATAAATATTGCAATTTCTCGACTTGCGATATGGAACGGCGATTTTTAACGAGCGCAAGAAACAAATCGCGAAACGTTAGCCACTCGGTTACATTACCGGAGAAAGAAGGCAAGTTGATCTTCGGCAATCGGATCTCGTTGATGGACGTCGTTGCGGCCGCCGTTGGTACAGGAATGGAAATTGAAGCGACGTTGAATGCCTCGAGTTTTTCTTGAAAGAAGTCGTAGGCTTGCATGTACGAGACCTCCGCCTTGTCTAGCAGCTTGCTCTAGAAGAAGGGAAGCTGTGCCGCGTCTGCGTCGGTTGCTACTGCCTCAATGATAGCGGCATTCTCCTGGCATTTATTCCAGTAATTTTGCAAGAGTTGAAATCGTCCTTTAGTGATGGCATGAGTTTGATTATCAACTCCAAGCTTTTGGAAATTCGTTATTGAGTTCGTTAAATAACGTAAATTCGTATCGAACGCAAATATTGCCTTGTCCATTTCGATCTATTGTCTTGCAGAGCTCGACCTTGTAAGGTAAACACGGTGTTGAAATGGAGAACGTATGTACGTGAGTCGAAATACTTCCTTGTCGTACGGAAATTTTTACTCGGAATGTAGCGCAATTGTTGAATGGCTCACTTGAAGTAGTTGCACTGCTTGCACGTGTATCTTGTTTGAATCCATCCGTTAATTTCTCGACACAGATCCGGCTCGAAGGACCATGTTTTGTATATTTTCTCCTTTGGGTTTTATCGGAGCTATCGCCTAGTTCTCTCTTGTGGACTGCGTCGATAGGCAAGGATAGATAGCAGGAACTAGTCTCTTTATTCTAAGTAAGAATACGTAATTTTTATTCTTCGGATCACAAATGTTCTTCTCGGGTTTACCGGACGGCTCGTCGTACCAGACTCGCCTTCCGTGCCGCATCGCTCCTTTTTAAAGACGCGGAAACTCTCTCCTAATTCGGCGCTTCGCCCTTGTGGACGCAATAACAAACTGTCGATGTACACAATTACAGAGAGCTCTCAGGAGCGTATATCGAAGGCGCGCGGGGATCACGGAAATGTAATTTTTTCCCAAACATTCTAAAAGTAAACAATTACACAAAACGCTCTTTCGACCTCAGCAAAACGATAGAATAAAGAGGATTCTTCTCGACTATTCTAGAAACACGGGCCTATAAAAGCCTCCTCTCTCGTGATCGCGGCGCTCTTCTCCGATTGCTCGTCGCGTCAAGAGTGTGTTGCTACTGTTTTAAAAAGATCGCTTGTCTTTTTCTCTTTACCACGTCTAATTACCGTTGCTTGCGGAACGTTTAATTATTAATTACCGACTCGGCTATTTCTTTTGGATTCTCCTAATCCGTTAACTTTTTGTAAATTCTGTGCGGTTTTCAGTATTTGTATTTTTCTTTGTTTTTAGTTAAAATATAGTTATATTAAACGATACGTTTTGTCGAGTGTCGTGCTTCGCCGTCTTCTCGCTTCCGACATCCTTATCCTGCCTTCCGTCGCGCACATTATTTTTGGTCCTTCGAGCCGGATCCTCCAGAACCTCCTGTGAATCCGGTGCCACGGAAGCGTAGAGTCTTTCAGTGTAGGTGAACAGTGCATCTGAAAATAAGACAGTGTCAGAGATGGCAGACACAACGACTATAATTACCAACGCCACCGCGCTATATGGCAAGATTTCGCGCGCATACGATAACCTTCGTAAGCTCGGCGAGGCCAACATCACACTCGGTGCAGTGGAAGCCCGGCTTCTGAATCTCGACAAACTGTGGGAGAAGTTCGATGCGATGAATGATATCTTGGCTGAGCGTGTAGACGAAATAAAGCATGACGTCTATGCTAAACAGGACATACCTTCACTCGGCGAAGAGTCTTATCTAGTGAACAAGGGCCTGATGTTGGAGATGCGGCGTACTCTCCAGAAGAAGGAACGCGCCGCTGCTTCTGCTACTTCAGAGACATCACCATCGGCGCCTCGCACCACGCTACCTCGAATCCAGGTACCGACCTTTACGGGAAGATACGAGGATTGGCCGGCCTTCCGAGACCTCTTCGTCTCCCTTATCGGCCAGGATAAGACGACGAAGCCTGTGGAAAAAATGCATTACTTGAAGAGCTGTGTCAAGGGCGAGGCAGATCTTCTCATCAGAGACCTCAGTTCTACCGAAGCCAATTACGAGCGAGCCTGGCGAACTCTAAGCGACTACTACGAAAATAAGCGCTTACTAACCCGCTCTTATTTAACGAATTTTTTAAGCCTGCCAAAGATGAAGGGAGAATCCTCTACTGAGCTTAGGAAGATATTCCACGGCATCAAGACTACGGTCAGCTCGCTGGCGAGCATCGACCGGCCAGTAGGGAGTACTGAAGATCTCTTTGTGCACCTCGCCGTTGACCTTCTCGATAGTCGCTCTCGCCGCGAGTGGGAGACCTCCATCAGTGAAACGAACGAGCCTCCGCCATACGCTCTGCTAGAGCGATTCCTTGAGCGACGCCTTCATACTCTGGAGTCGTTGCCCTCGACGAAGATCGACGTCTCGTCCAACAAGGCCAGCGGGAGTCAGTCGAGGTCGACTCGTACGCACCATGCTCGTAAGCTGGACTCAAAGGAGCTCAAGGGAAACACTAGAGGACGCTGTTCAGCCTGCCAGGGTGACCACTTCGTGATGCTGTGCGACGCTTATAGGAAAATGACGGCCTCAGAGCGCAAGCAGCACGTCGAAGGCAACGACTTGTGCGGAAACTGTCTCGGCCGACACAAGACCAAGGAGTGCGCCTCCAAGAAGAACTGCTCTGCGTGCAATGACCGGCATCATACCTCACTCCATGATGCCTACCGCTCATCGGAGACCGTCAAAACGGCGCACGTCAGCAAGGGACCGGTTCCGACGCCTGTAGCGGTACTTTTGGCCACGGCACGCGTTCGCGTATGCGATCGCTATGGTTCCTGGCAGTCCGTTCGCGCCCTCGTCGACCAAGGCTCGGAATCCTCCATTGTGTCGGAAAGGCTCACCCAACGCTTGAGGCTAGCACGGAGCTCCGCTTCAGTTTCCGTGTATGGAGTCGGCGGGAAAAAGACAGGTGTCTTAAAAGGTAAAGTGGTACTCACCCTCCAGTCTCTTAGTGGCTGCCCTTCCATCACCGTCCACGCCCTGGTGCTGCCGAAGCTGACCATCTACGCCGGCGGCTACAACGGCGGCGGGCATAACTGGCCTCATCTTCAGGGTCTGGAGCTCGCGGACCCTGATTACCGCTCAGCTGATCCGGTTGACATCCTCCTTGGCGCGGACATTTACGGTTCGATCCTCTGTCAGGGCCTAAAAAAGGGAAATCGACATGAACCAATAGCTCAACAAACCACGCTCGGCTGGATACTGTCAGGCGTGGTTGGTGAGACGACTACCGGACATCACGTTCACACTCACCAATGCCGAGTTGAGGACGACGTCTCTATCCTGGTGCGACGCTTCTGGGAGCAGGAGGAGCTTCAACGGCCTTCACAACTCTTCTCCAAGGCTGACCAGGAGTGCGAGGATCACTTCCTGCGACATCACAGTCGTACAGCCAACGGTCGATATGTGGTGAGACTGCCGACGATCGAGCCTCTGCCTGATCTCTCAGCCACTCGACGCGCCGCCAGTCGAGCCCTGCAACACGTCAGCAAAAAATTAGAACGAGAAAATACCTTCCGCAGCATGTACGTGGATTTCATGGAGCAATACTTGGACCTCAACCATATGAAGCCGGCTCCCCTGTCGACTATTGGATCTCTACAGCGAACCTGCTACCTTCCTCACCACGGGGTCCTGCGCGAAAGCAGTGCCTCTACTAAGTTGAGAGTGGTCTTCAACGGTTCGAGCTCTTTGGCCAACGGCGACTGTCTCAACCGATTCCTGATGACGGGACCCAACCTGCTTCCCGCCCTAGCTGACATCCTACTACGGTGGAGAAGGCACCGGTTCGTCTTTGCTACCGACTTTGAAAAAATGTACCGGCAAATCCTGGTGCATGCCGATGATCAGAGCCTGCAAAGAATATTGTGGAGGAAGGACTCGGAGACAGAGATCAAGGAATATTGGCTGACTACTGTGACTTACGGTTTAGCCTGCGCTCCATACTTGGCCATCCGCACGCTGCATCAGCTCGCCGTGGACGAAGGCGATCGTCATCCTGAGGGAGCCGCGGTCCTCCGCTCCGACGTTTACATGGACGACATCCTGTCTGGAGCTTCTACCCTCCAGGAAGCCAAGGAAATCCTCCGACAGCTTGTTCTGGTCTGCAAGGTGGGAGGCTTCCCTCTGAAAAAATGGTCAGCTAATCACCCGCAGTTACTTTCGACATTACCTACCGAGGACTGCCTCCAGCAAGAGGCAAGATGGTGGCTGCCTGGGGAAAGTCATGCCACCCTGGGATTACGGTGGCAACCTTGCGACGACCTCTTCTCCTTCGCCACCAGCCAACCAACGCTGCCCACGATCACTAAGCGGTCAGTCTTATCGTTGACAGCGAAGCTGTTTGATCCGCTCGGTTGGCTGTCTCCCACGACTGTTCTCGCCAAGACTCTAATCCAGTCTACTTGGTTGCTCGGCATCGACTGGGACACTCCTCTTCCGGACGACCATGAGAAGGCCTGGTTACGCTTCCAAGCGGAGCTCCCTCAACTAGAGAGACTGCACGTTTCTCGATGGCTGGGCGGAGGATCGACTGACTGCCGCCTGGAAGTCCACGGATTCGCTGACGCCTCAGTCCGTGCCTACGCCGCTGTGGTGTACCTAAAAACCGAGAAGAACGGGGAGTATGGAGTTACGCTGATTGCCGCCAAGACGAAAGTTGCTCCGCTAAAACAAATCTCCTTACCTCGGCTCGAATTATCAGCCGCAACTCTTCTGGTCCGCCTCGTTCAGCAAACGCTGCCTCTCATCGGAGCTGAAAAGGCGCCTCTTCATCTCTGGTCAGACTCCACAGTGGTTCTCGGCTGGATCCGTGGACATCCTTCTTCCTGGGTCACATTCGTTGCCAACCGGGTCAGCGAAATTCAGACGTCGCTCCCCGACGCCCTTTGGCATCATGTCCCTGGACGCGAAAACCCGGCCGACTGCGCCTCTCGAGGCATCTTCCCTGGAGATCTTGAGGCGCATCCACTTTGGTGGCAGGGTCCCTCTTGGCTGAAAACGGAGAGCGGCCCTTGGACTGTCTTCGGAGAGGATCCCAGCAACGTCGAGTCCGTTCGCACGCTGCAGTCTTGGACAAGCGAGGAGACGAACCGGAGCTGCTACTCCGATACTCGTCCCTGCAGCGACTACTTCGCATCACCGCCTGGTGTCTCCGGTGGTTTCGACAACGCCGACGGCAGCCCATCCTTCTCAATCGCGACGGCGGGGTAGACGCTGAAGAACTGCATGACGCGCTGATCCACTGGGTACGGCTCGTCCAAGCTGCAAATTTCAAGGACGAGTTAAAATCGTTGCGAGGACTGACATCACTGCCCAACCGAAGCCCACTCAATAAGCTCAGCCCGTTTGTGGACGATTCGGGCGTTATTCGCGTCGGAGGGCGTCTACGACATTCTCAAATGTCTTTTCAGGCTACCCATCCAATCATCCTACCGAGCTCGTCGCGAATTACTTACCTCGTCATCGATGAGCATCACCGACGATCGTTGCATGGGGGCACCCAGCTGACCCTGTGTTCCATCCGCCAAGAATTCTGGATTCCTCGTGGACGATCCCTCGTTAAAAACCACATTCACCGCTGCGTTAGATGCCTGCGATGGCGGGCGGCTACAGCACAGCCTCTCATGGGTGACTTGCCTGCGCCCCGAGTGACGCCAGGAAGACCATTCCTCCATACTGGCGTCGACTACGCCGGACCCGTCTGGCTGCGAAGTGCCAAAGGCCGCGGGCAAAAATCTTCTAAGGCCTTCATTGTCGTTTTCATCTGTTTAGGTTCCAGGGCCGTCCATCTTGATGTCGCCTCGGACTACTCGGCCGACGCCTTCTTGGCATCCTTGCGTCGGTTCATCGCTCGGCGAGGTGTATGCCAAACGCTATACAGCGACTGTGGGACCACCTTCATAGGCGCCGACACGCAACTCCGAGACTTATTCGCAGCCACAAACCCTGAAGGCCGTCGCATCGCCTCCTTCGCTGCTCAGGAACAAATTCAGTGGCGGTTCAACCCGCCGGCTGCGCCCAACTTCGGTGGCATCTGGGAAGCGGCAGTCAAGTCAATGAAGCACCATCTTCGCAGAGTGATAGGAGAAGCTACACTCACCTACGAGGAGATGGCCACTCTCCTCTCCCAGGTCGAGGCTTGCCTCAACTCTCGGCCTCTGCAACCGCTGACCGACGACCCGGAGGACTTCAGCGCGCTGACGCCCGGCCATTTCCTCATCGGCTCCGCGCTCTCCGCCGTCCCCGAACCGTCGCTGACCGAGGAATCGTCGTCGCGCCTCTCCCGGTGGCAGCTTCTACAAAAGATAAAAGATCATTTCTGGTCTCGATGGTCTCGCGAATATCTGCACACGCTGGCTCATCGGCCGAAATGGTTCAAAATAAACCGGGAAGCTCGCGTCGGTCGACTCTGTTTAATCCGTCACGAAATGACCGCTCCAACGAGGTGGCCTCTAGCGCGCATCACCAAATTGCTCTCCGGAGCCGACGGACACGTTCGCGTCGTCGAGGTCCGCACCGCCACCACTGTCTTGACCCGACCCGTTAGCAAACTCGTTTTCCTTCCCGACGCTGACGAACTGCCACCTAAAACCCAAAGCGATTAGTCAATTCATCAACCCTTAATTTGCACCGTTCCAAACTAACTCACATCAATCACAACTGCATTCCACTCACTATTCCACTCTTTGCATCGCTGCAATCTTCTTATCACTCCACTATTCGTTCATACTCAATCACGGTTAAAATCACAATCCAAATTGTCGCGTATTCCTCGATGCGCTCACCGACACGCGTATATACTGCCGCGCTCGAAAATAAACAGCTGTTCGATCTGGAATTACTTGAGCTAAATCCGTCAGAGCACGTGCGCTCCACGTGCCCGTCATTCGCGAGAGCGTGAATAGGCGCGCCCCCTCTCTCGCACTTCTTGTTCGATTGCAGGTATACTGCAAGGCGGGCGGAATGTTCGAAAATCGAACGGCTGATTGTAAACTGAAAAGACCTAAGAACATTATTGCGTTAAAGCTCATGCAAATCGTGACATGCAACATGCATCATGCATCATTTTTTATTAATATTCTTTAAAATAGCGCTCGGCCGCACCGGTATACGTATACCCCGCGCCTGCGAAAAGAAAGCGCTTACGTTAAATCCCCGATAATTGTAAACACCGCGGTCACGCGAGAGGAGATACACTTTAGTTCCGATAACAATAAAAAGATTATTTTTCTAAAAGTAAACAATTACACAAAACGCTCTTTCGACCTCAGCAAAACGATAGAATAAAGAGGATTCTTCTCGACTATTCTAGAAACACGGGCCTATAAAAGCCTCCTCTCTCGTGATCGCGGCGCTCTTCTCCGATTGCTCGTCGCGTCAAGAGTGTGTTGCTACTGTTTTAAAAAGATCGCTTGTCTTTTTCTCTTTACCACGTCTAATTACCGTTGCTTGCGGAACGTTTAATTATTAATTACCGACTCGGCTATTTCTTTTGGATTCTCCTAATCCGTTAACTTTTTGTAAATTCTGTGCGGTTTTCAGTATTTGTATTTTTCTTTGTTTTTAGTTAAAATATAGTTATATTAAACGATACGTTTTGTCGAGTGTCGTGCTTCGCCGTCTTCTCGCTTCCGACATCCTTATCCTGCCTTCCGTCGCGCACATATATAAATGTTGTATTTATAATAAGGTCGATATGACTAAATTAATTTTTTGACATATTAGCATGATATTGAGGAAGACTGTCGTACAGTCGAAACGTTTATCTTAACTTTTGTATATTATGACGTAAATTAATAAAAAAATTTTTTCAATTAATATCATATAAGCTCGTTAAGTTGGCCTTTTATTATATCACATATTTTAATTGTATACGAGCCGAAGTTTAATTTATAAAATATATATATATAATAAATAAATTATTATAATAAATATATTATTTATAATATTATTTTTAATATTATTTATAATATTATATTATTTTTAATATTACTTATAATATTATTTTTAATATGTGCTAAATTAAAAGGCCAACTTAACGAGCTAATAAGGTGTTAATTAAAATTTTTTTATTATACGTCATAAAATAATTCTGATTATTTGGTAAATTTTACACATACTTTTAATTGGAACGAAACAAAAATCTTAGATTACGAAAAGAATTATTATAAAAGGTTGATATCGGAAATGATACACATTAAAGAGGAAAAAAACAGTATCAACTTAAAAAAGGACACCGAGCGACTTGACGGTTCTTATTTTGATATTTTAGAAAAATTGTCTATGTCATCTTAGCACAGTGGTATATATACAGCGCTCTGACATTGCGATTTACAGATTTGCTTCGTGAATACGTGAACAGATATAGATTTGCTTTGTTAAAAAGTACACATTGTGGATAATGTTGTTTAAAAAGAAATAGTTTATCGTCTCGACACAGATGTAAGTAATCACTATTTATTTAAAAATCTATTTAATATTCGGTCTGACACATCAATTATTTCACAGCGTATGACATACTATAACATCATGAATCACAGAAATCTGATGTTCGAGATTAGGCGCTTTAACTCAAGTCAACAAGCATGAATTTTGTACTGCGTTTTTCACATTATAAGCTTATAGATTTTATATTTATAATAAGTACGGTCTTACCAAATGATTTAATTTGTTGACATATTAACATGGCGATAATGATATTGAAAAAGACTGTCGTATAGACGAAACGTTTATCATTTGTAATATTATTTTATGACGTATAATAAAAAGTTTTAATTAACACCTTATTAGCTCGTTAAGTTGGCCTTTTAATTTAGCACATATTTTAATTATATACGAGCCGAAGTTTATTTTGTTTTATATATATTATTTTTAATATTATTTTTGAATAAATGAACATTTATTTATAATGTGTAAACATTTAATTTTATTGTTATTCCATACATCTGATATTAGTATATTATTATTATATCTGAGTGTGAAAAACATTTTGTTCTATACACCTTATAGATAACACTTCGATTTTAGCGCCCCAAGCGGTCGTGCCTCATTAAGAGACGCTACCCTCACCATCAAAAATTGAAGTAGTTTTCAGACCTGTATGTAAGACCGTGGATATACGTAACCTGAAAACCCTAAGACAGCGAGTGGCGCTAGTGCTCTGAAATTCAAAAACACGCGCGCATTAGGTATTGTGCTTTTGTTTTTTCAGATAATTTGAGAAATTGATATTTAAATATTTGTATAAAAAAATATTTAAAATATATGTATTAATATTTTTTTTCGAAAAAATATTAAAATTGAAATATATATATTAATATATTGAATATCGGAAAATGACAAAGTAATGTGTAGTACCGAATTGCAAAACTGGCAGTAGGACGGAGCAAATAAAGCGATCTTTATTTCGCGTATCTAAAGATCCAACATGGAAAAAATAGGAAGAGACTATCCCAAATATACTAAAGTTGCGCCAGACGGATGTTGTATGCGAAAAACATTTTGACAAAAAAAACATTTCGCGCAAATGGATTAAGCTTGACGCAAATAATCAAGTAATTGATCAGGTAAGTTAAATAAAAAATTTTCATATTCAATTTAAAGAGTTCTTATTCAAATAATGTATTTTTCTATTGAAGGTTACATACAAACATCCGCAACTTAAAAAGCAAGCTGTGCCTACGAAATTCGAAAATGTTTCTACAGAAATATGGACAAGGAGAAATTCTGAGCCGTTGCATGAATATGCGAAACACATTTCAAATTCGCAAAGTACTTTGTGTTTATAGTAGGTTCTTTATGCCACAGAAAGAACTCTTTTTGCGTATGCGGACGTTCTTTATTTCGGCTTTCTTCTTACACGCAGATCTTAACGTTTTACAAAGGTCAATGGCCGACTGACTGTTCTTCTTCCTTGATGAGGAAATACAGCGCCACATTAGGCAATCTATCGATAAAAATACGCGCAAGGCGACACGCGAGATAACATCGGTAGAAACGGATACGCATTATCATGATAAAGAAGGGCACGCAAATTTGACAATTTCGACATGACAGTCGATAATAAACAAAACTCATACACTTTGGTCTGTGAATTTTCTGAAATAAAAAAAAATATTCATTATATTGTTATTTAAAAAAAATGATACAACGTTAGTAATTAACATATACATAATAATTATGTAATTTTAAAATATTTTTCTTTGTTTTTATTACAAATATCACACGTATTCCTTTATCTTTATCAGCTCCAAATATTGACGCAGACATTGGGATATTGCCCATAGATGTTTTGCCCATGAAAGTTTTGCCCACGGAAATTTTGCCCATGGAAGTTTTGCTCACTGAAGTTTCGCCTATATCAAGTTGTAAACCTCTGATAGTAAATTTGTTAGTTCCTCAAGAGTCAAAGTATCTTCAATTTTTCAAGTCAGCGAACGTATTTACCCAAATATTTTAAGAAAAAATTAAAGTTTTTAATAAAAAAATAGATTTTTTAATTTAAATCTTAATTTAACAACTGAAACATTTGTAAAAAAATAAAATTAATTAATAATTATTAATTATTAATAATATAATTATATAATTATTATATTATTAAAATAATAATAAAGATTATTATATTATTATTATATGTAGTATAATTTACTTATAATTAAAATAAAATAAATAAATAATAAGTAAATAAATAAGTAAATAAATAAATAAATAAAATGTTTTATTTACCGTTAAAAATTTAACCATTAAAAATGGTTAAATTTTTTTGGAGCAATCTAAAATAAAAATAAATAATTTTATTAATTGTAATAAAAATTAAAACAGAAACTTCTATATGCATTAAAACAATTTAATATGATTTAAAAATGATGAAATGCAATGATTATATAAGAATTTATTAATTTTTCTTGGTATAGAAACTTACCATTTGTCATAAATACCATTGTTTGACATTGTGGTACATTAGAAATATCGAATAGAAATGCGAACATCACTGATGATTTTTTTGCCTATGTCCCGGAGTCGTGGAGTTATGGCAAGATACGTATTGGAATTATACAACATATTTTATTCACATATACAATCACAAAAATTGAGAACGGCGAGCATTGTCCAATAACACAAAAAAATGTTATAATTGATGTGGACGGATTTGTATAATATTTTGTTTATGAACATTACATTGATCCACAAGACCAAAAACTGGAACGAGTTTTACACAATAAAGAAATGTTTTCTGATATCTTGGAGAAATTATAGGGATGAATGTTTGCAGCGGTCTAGGTGATATTAATACCCATCATTTACCAGCCGGTGCGGCTTATCAAGATTACATTGATAAGTGGAGAAACAAAAAATGCTCTCTTCTCTTGTTCGAGAAGAAGCAATCGTTTTCGCACGGTGGTCGCAATCGAGTCAGGTAGCGCGCCGCGAATCAAAACAGAGAAACGAACAGAGAAATCAGCTGTGCCGAAGGTCTTTCGATGTTGATGTTCTCGCGGAAGCGGGGCTAGGGACGACAACCGGCGACCACGTTTTTTTGCGTTGTTTTTGCGAGACGAGATTTCTAGGGAACGCCGGCGCTATAAGCAGAATTCGGAAATTTCCA